GCTCAAGGCAGGGCGGGTAATGTAGGGGCCTTTGTAATAGTTAGAATTACATTATACTATACCTGTAATAAGGAGCCCCCAAAATAGTATAGGTAATTATTCAAGCTTCTATATTAGGTTTGCTTGGTTTTGTTGGTATGCGATATCGGGTTATCTCTATCTCATAGGGGATAGCTGTCAAGCGTATAGGGAGCGTCCAGAGAATAGGTTTGGGTTTAATCGGGTTTAGGGTTTATGGGTTTAGGGCTCAAGGCTTGCGAGCAGGCTTTCCGGTATAGTAGAGTATATCATAGTAAGGAGCCTTCAGGAAGGGCATTAGCACTCATTCGGGCTTCTTTGCTGCCACTTGTTCTGCTGATCCTCCTTCTCCCACTGCTGCTGGTACTAGGGCGACGGCGACTACCACTACCAAGAATGTCTTCCGTCGTACCTTGACACCACTCAGCACGAAAGGTTTTCATTGATTCACTGCAGGTTCCAAACCGCCAGCATGTAGCTGTTTTTATGTTCATTGCTTTTACTGCATGATCATTGCACGAATCTGACATTTCCTTCCGATACTCTTTAGCGACACAAGTCGTAGTCGTAGTAGCACAGAGCTGTACTCCTCCTCCGACTCTAACTTCTTGTCGCATCTAACTTCTATCCTTGATTTAATCAAACTCGTAATTTGCATCGTAAGCTCTAAATCATCCCTTACAGTACCCCTACTCCATCACAATTCCCCTCAAACCCCTAAAACCCCACTTACACCCTTAACCCAAAAAAACCTTACAGAACCCCTTGTAGGACTCCTCACGAAAAATCATTGTCCTTTCGGCCTTCTCCCTCCAACCTGCCCTAAACCCCGAACAAGTACTAAACCCCCGGACCACAAGCCCCTCAACCCCAAACCTTAAACCCGAACGTATCATCCCCCCCTCCCCGCCGCCTTCTTGCCCCCGGGCGTGGAGAACTCGCGTCGAAGAGCAGCTGTGCGAACCACGCCTCGGACGCAGGGAAACCCCCGAAAGGAACAACAGCGATGATGAAAAACATCATAACAATTTTTCGAAAACAAGTACGGACAATACTAACAAGACTAATAACAAAAATATTTTAGCAATTGTGATGAGTCTGGTCATAAGAACGAGAATAACAGTCATGAACAGTGCTGATGGTAATGTGTACATCTAATCTAACAACAATCATAACAACAAATGACAGCAGTCACCATCAGTCATTTCAAGCATAACTGGAACAACCCCTTCTCCCCTTCTCAGTTTGCTTTTGGTCTCAGGACATGGCCACTTCATGACATGAGCATCCAACAAACATAGAATGGAACAGATAAGTTTACGGGAGCATGAAAGGGCGGGGCTTTTTTCACACCCCGAAAAGGCTCCTCATGCTCACTTTCACGCTGGGGGTCTTTGTTGCGCCCTGTTTTAGATTCTCAGGGTTTGGGGGTTTAGAGTCTGGGGCAGAAGGAACAAAAGAGTCTTTACGGGGGAAATGAGCTACCTAACTGGCCATACAGGGGCTTTTGCACGCCCTGGGTTTGGGGTTCTAAGCCCGAAGGAACAAAAGACTCTTTAATGATGCAAAAAGCAACCTAACCGGCCGCACAATGTTTTTTTTCGCGCCCTGGGTTTGGGGGTCTAAGGCCGACGGAACAAAAGCATAGACAGAGAGACAAAAAAGAAGGAGAGCCAGAAAGACAGAGACACAGAAGTACCGGGAAAGAAAGAAAGGGTGACAGAGGGAAAGACACAGAGAGAGAGAGAGGGAAACCAAGAGGGGCGGGGGAGAGCGGAGGTAAGAGAAAGAAGACAAAGAGGAAGAGAGAAAGAGAGAATGAGACAAAGAAGCAGAGCGACAGACAGACAGAGTGACGGAGAGACAGAAAGACAGGGAGAGAGGAAGAAAAGGAAGAGGGCAGGGAAGCGCAGAAGAGAGCAGGTAAAGGGCCGGGTACAGGAAGCGAGACACAGCAACGAAGGGCAGTGGAAAGGACTGGAAGGGCAAGGAAGG